CACGCATTTATCCTAATTTGTTGAAACATTATTATTTGTAGTTTAGAAGAATAGAATTATTTTAAGCATATAGTTTTTTAGTGCTATCATTTATTTTTCCTTCTATGATAATTAATTATATTAGTAACTGAATTATTTTATTTATGTTAAAGTTAATGATTCATGAAACAGTATTTACCTACACCCATTTGTAAAATTATTTTTATTTTAATGAAATTAACAATAATTCAACATTTACTATCAATTTAAGATATTTACTAATTGAACATACAATATAAATATTTGTTTTTCCTCAACAATGTTTTACTTGCACTTTTTCAAATAATATATATATATATATATATATATATATATAAAGATTGGGCCTATTAAATAATATCAAGATTAAATGTATGGGTCGAAACAGATTTATTGGGCCCACCGACCCAATACACGTCAAAGATAGAAGCTCGCGGTTAACGAGCTCGTGAACCCATCCAAACATGCTAGCGACAAATCAACGAGCAAGGTGGCGAGCTGAACGAGAGTCATTAAAAGCAGAAAACTCGGAGATATTATTCTTAGATAGATAAGGAAAGCATGTAAATTAGTATCACTAATGGATAATGTAAATCTCAACCTAATTATGGCGAGTTAAACTAGGAAACAATTAAAGAGATCTTCCTATATAAGGTCTTGTACCAAGTCTGATGAAAAGGCACGATTTGACATCAATAAAAATACTTTATGCTCTCTTCCAAGCTCTCTCTCATATCCATTCTTTCCGTTCATCAATTCACCATCGCCGGTCCAAGATCCGGCATCCGGTGTGTTTCCGACGGTCATAAAGGAGTAGGGTTTGGAGTGAGGTATATATATATATATATATATATATATATATATATATATATATATATATATATATATATATATATATACATTTACTTAGCTATATTTATTTAACTTTTTTTTAATATTCGTCCGTGCAGAGCACGAGGCAAAGTACAAGTATTCCCTAAAATACCAATTTTATCCTCAGAGTTAACTGTAATAATATTATTTTATAAGGGGGCAATTGTGATATATTTTGTTGGACTATAATAAGATTGTTTTGTCCGAGACGTTATGCATGAGGAGTTTTATTGTATTCTTTATCATCAGAATGATTTGCGCAGGTACTTTTCAAACTTGCAGATACTTTTTTACCTTTCTTTTAAAATCGAAAGGTAAAAACTCTCTCAAGCTTTTGGAGTTCTTTCTCAAATCCCAACTCTAGACGACATCAGATTAGAGGTCATTTTTACGTTTTTATGATTGTTTCGTTATGTAGATTATGATTATGAAAAAAAGTGTCTAGTAGAGTTCGTGTGATTCTAATCTAGCATAGGGGACTTAGTCGTGTAGACCCACAAGAGCACATGAGTATTTGTTTTTCTTTTAATTTAAATTGAATAATAGCGTATTATTTGATTAAAAAAAAGTTTAAAAAAATGTGAGCTCATGTGTTTGTAGGCGAACAAGCGGACTGAGTTCGCGTAAAACCACGGGAACTCGATTCAACGAGTTCGCCTGGAAACACACAAGCTCATATTTTTTAATTTTTAATTTTTTTTTTCTGAATTTCGGGTGCTCGTGTGATAACACGCAAGCAGGTTCACTATGCTCGCGTGCCTACACATGAACACAATACATCTGCTTGCGTGTTTTCACACGAGCACTTGAATTATTTTTTTTAAATACTTATCAGTTTTTATGTTAAATTATGGATGTCACGAGGTAGAGGAAAAAGTTTAATGCGTCAAGTTGCGGGAAAAGGTAAGAATTTGATGAAAGCTTTGGTTGGGAAGTCGAACAATCCGGACGATCTGGATCGCATTCGAGATCGGGGAGTTCTTGCATAAGACCGTAGAAGGAAAGCTAGAGAAGAAGCAAGAGCGATAGAATATTGTCTGCCTTCGTGGAAAGACTGACGTCTAATCTCATTACCATGACTAACGGTCGTGTTCATCGCCCACTCAACTAGTGCATCTTTACTATCAAATGCAGTCAAAATTCTGAAAATTGACTGAAATCATGTACCTTGAATGTTTCCGTATCTTCATCAACGTTTATTTAATTTTACTTCATGTTTTCACATAAATATAGTTAGCAAAATATTAAAGTAAAAAAAAAAAAAACAGAGTTCGCGCAAATCTACACGATAACCTTGTCAGGGCTAGTGTAAATTCACACAACATGTGACAAAAGTGCTCGTCTGAATTCACATGAAATAAAATAAAATAAAATAAAATAAAATAAAACTTCATCTGTTCGTGTAGTTTTGCACGAACACATGGCGTGGCGTGTGTTCGTGTAGAACCACAAGAACTCAAAAAAAAAATTATGTGTTCATGTCATATTACACGAATACGGGGCATGTGGTCGTGCAAAATCACACGAACACATGAATTTTTGAGAAAAAAACGAAAAATGTTACCTCCGGGTCTATATTCGTTGGATTTATTTCAGACATTGTTGAATATCTGATTTTTTTTTTACTTGAATGTTGAGATTTGGATTTTGTAAAAGTTTATAGAGTTTGGTGAAAATTTTGTAAAATGGTAAAACAAAATATTTGCACGCCAAAAGAAGACCTGAGTATCATTTAAGGGCATTAATAATCTTCATCTTTTGGGTGTTTGAGCGTATTTCAAATGTAATATAAATACTACATGATAATTTTTATTTTCATTCACTACACCTCCCTTCATCATTTATCTCTTTTGTTTCTATGACTTCCCCTAGTAGCTCTTCTTAAATCACAAGGTTGAAATTAGGAGTGGAAGCGTTTTTGGCAACAAAATATCAATATCTTCGGAAACCCGATAGTTTGGATTTTGCGAGGGGACTCGCGGCTGAAAACCGTCGTGATGTCACAAATTCCTTCAATAATTTTGGCGTCTAACCCCCGCCCGGCGATAAATTGGCCTCCTCGAGGTGCGCCCCGATTTGTACGATTTCAAACCTTAGGAACCGAGCTTACACCATCTTCAAAAAATCTTGAAATTCCGTCAACTCCTCCGAAGCTTTGAAATTTTTGCTTCCTAAAACTGTAGGACGCAATGGCAACACCGCCTTGCGGGATTCTTGCGGCCAACTTCTAAATTTTCGGCTACTTTGGGCCTCTAGCAAAAAATAATTAACATCTTCGGGCAACTATTTCTAAGTTACTCCGGACAGACCCACAAGCCCGTGACCCAATCTAGGAGTGGGGTGCTTAATTATGTGTACAATTGGAGTTAGACCCAAGATGCCCAAAATTGGCCCATATAGAGAAAAAAAAACTCCAATTAGCACTCTTAATTACAATCATATTGTTCCACATTGGATTTTTAACAAGAAAACCACATCAAACTCCACATATAAATATATGTTTCATTCACATAACAAGGTACGCACTACTTTAGCAATTAATTAATATTATTTGCGTATATTGTCATAGTTTTCTGAGTTGAGTGTCGGAGGACAGTCGTCGGGCCAACCCGGACGTGTACCCTAGTGTTTTTCGACTGTTTTGTAGGATAACGTACAGACTCTACTCTTGCGGGGTTCAAATACTCCTTGGTCGCCTAATCGATATTTGAACAACAACGAGTGGACCCATCCCTTCGACACGTGACAGTAATCTTCGACATTCTCTTCCATTGCAGGCTCAAAGATTCTTGAGTTGCTCAATCGACATTTGAGCAGTATGAATGACCAATATCATGAGATATTTGAAGCAATTGGAACCCTGAAAATGAAGTAATATAAATTGAGTAAGAAAGCCACATTGTTATTCAAAGGAATAGAGAACCACACCGATTGGTCGGATTCTTCTACACATGCCTTCCAATCACGGTACCTATAGCAAGGAAATCAAGATTATAATTCTTCAACCGCCCCTACCTCAACCATTCGCTACATCAATCAACTGGGTCGAGCCACAACCTGTTACCTATAATTTTTGTACTAACTTGTATGGACTTTTACTGCAATGTCTGAAACATTTCGGGTTGAAATAAACATTTTTCGAATTTGGTGCATTAAACATAAGAGTTTAGAAAGTTGAGGGGCTAAAATGTAAATTTTGGAAAATTGGAATGTACAAACATCAATAAGGGTATTATATTAATTAATAAAGATAATTATTATGTTCTTAAAAAGATAGCAAATATAATATTTCCCTCCCTATATCTAGAATCTACTCTTTGCTAATAACTACTCCCTTTCAACCTCACCAATATAAATAGATACTTGGAAAACTTGAATACCATGTTTTGATTAACACATTCTCAGTTTTTTCTCCAATAACTGGTCGTGTTGAAGGATCGATCTTGTGAATAAAAAATTATCATGGCGGGTATTTGAGGTTGAATAAGAGTAAAAGTATTTCTCAAAGGTTTTTCTTTTACTAAAAGAAAAGGGCTTTACGTAATGACAAATTTGCCCTTCATAAACCCAGATTTTATGAAAAAAGTGACTATTGGGTTATGTGCAACTAATTTAAAGTTTTGAAGGACGATGTTTCTCTTTTTTTCAAGGTTGTAAAAAGCGGTAATCGGGTTCGAGGCGGTCATACCTCAGGGGGTGTTTGTAATTTACCCAAAGTTTAATAATAATAAGATCATAATACATAAATATCCTTATAAAATATATATAAAAAGACATTTTTTTTGAATTTACATACATTATTGGCATATATCATTAGTTCTTTACAATAATAATTAACATAAACAAAATAAAGCATAAACTCATATTTTTTTTATAAAAATCCCAACTTTTATTTTTATTTATAAAAAAAAAAAAAAATAAAAAAAAAATTGATTTTGACCCATTTTTTGCCGATTTTCGCCACCAAAGTTTGACCCGCCTTAAAGTTTTGACCGCCTCGGACTGCCACAAACCGCAAAAAACCGATTTTTAAAACTTTTACACTAAAATCGTAAAAGTTTTGGACCGCCTCCGCCTCGGCCGATTTTTAGAACACTGTTTTTTTTTTTTTTTTTATAATTATAAGGGGTTAAGTGCGAAAGTAGAAGTTTTGCAGGGGGTGATGTACTATTTTCCCTTGTATATAAATATAATGTAAGATATATCCTTCTGCACCTAAACCCAAACCTAAACGACACAGCCTGTCTAGGTATCCATCCGCCGCTGGCAAAATTCTTCATCTTCACAGGTGCGCGTGCGTCTCCGATTCCCTTTCTCTGCCCCGCTAGTTGCAAATTTTGTTCGATATTTATATTTTATTTTGTTTTGGAATTTTCAATGGAAATAATTAATTTGTGGTTTGTTTTGTTATATCTTGAGTTTTTTCTTTGATTTCTTGTTGTTTCACTTATACTTAATGTATTTGATTACTTGTTAATCTATTGGTGTTTGCTATTATATTGTCTCTATAAATTATATTATTACAAGATGATGCTTTTCTTCACTACTCCATAGACTATCAAAGGTTTGAGAAAAATCGTATTTTTCATTAATAAATCAAGTTGAAATTCTTTTTAGTAATTTTGCAGTATATATGTTTACACGATAAGAGCATATGTATATATAATATATTGATTGTTTGAAGAAATAGGTGCATGCAATGGTACCGATATTAGAGCGGCAATGCGGACACTGTGGGCAGATTTCCGCGTTAGAGAGGAGTTGTGATGGCCGCTTCTACTGTGATTTCTGCTGCGTGCAATTTGATGATTTATTTGTATATGATTGGTTTGATGTTGGGAACTTAAGATCTTCATACTGTATTAGTTCTTCTGACTCTGAACGATCTGAACGAGTACGTGATTATTGTGATGTTGATGATGATGATGATGATGATGATGACGACGATGATGTTTTTTCTGATGAACAACTAATAAGTGATTTAGATGATGATGATGATGATGATCATAATGTTGTTTCAGATGTTACACCACCTTCTGATGAACAATTATTAAGTGATTTAGATGGTAATAATATTAATTCAGATGTCTTGGGTGATGGAGTTGTACCTACTGAACTATCAATTACTGATTTTGGCTCTTCCGAGAAGAATGTCAGCGTCCAGCCGCGAAGTAATCGAGCTAGTGCCGAACCAGTCGAGCTAGTGAAGAATCGTGATGAAATCATTGAGTGCCAAGACAAGGACGAAGAACAAGACTAGGAAGAAGAATCCGATTTCAGCCCTGTCTAGTGAAATACTTTATTGTTTTCCTATTTTATTTACAAATAATCTGTTACTTTTTTATATAAGTCTCGGATTTGGACGACTATGACTAGAGGGGGAAAATTGCATTTTTCGTCATATACTTTACCCACTTTTTTCAAAACTGTCTCTAAACATTTTGGAGTTACAATAGTAGTCCTTAATCATGCCATTTTTTGACAGAATTGGTCCGCCGTTAATTTTTGCAGTTAAGTTGGATGGAAAACGGCATGTCCCTCTCACATGCCTTCAATTTACAACACTACATGAAAATGGACTTTCAACAACACGCATTGCGTCTTGTTAAAACATATTTTTATAATTATTATTTTTAATTAAAATTTAATATAAAATCGAAATCACGTAAATTCCAAAAAAATCTACTTGTTTCGGAAATATTGTTTAAGAAGTCAAAATAAGTTTAAAAATTTAAAATATTGTTCCAAAATCGGCATTTTTGGAATTCAATTTAAATATAATGTTTCAAACCAAAATAAGAACCCAATAGGAATTGGGGAATTAGAAATCTCCATTCCAATTTTCACCACTAGTCAATTCCAAAAATCCCAATTGCGAGACAATATGTCGAGTTTTAAATCATTCAATATGGGTGAAAATTGGAAAGGCGTATGCTGCCTTGGTTGATCGAATTTTTATTTTATTTTAAAATAATACAAAAACTCCGATTTTAAAACACAATATTATTTTTTAGACAGTATTATGATTTTTTAAACAATATTTCTGAATTTATTTTGAAAAAACATATCGAGTTTTAGATTATTAAATTGGGTGAAAATTGGAACGGAGTATTCTTACTCCGCCTATTCCGATCAGATTTTATTTTATTTAAAACAATAATTTTCATTCAGATTCAAGAAATCCCGGTTTTAGAACATTATATTATTATTTTAGACAATACTTCTAAAAACCTTTTGAAATAATTTATCGAGTTTTACATTATTAAATTAGGGTGAAGATTGAAATGGAGGTTTCTTATCCCACCTATTCGGATTGAATTTTTATTTTATTGACACAATGTTTTCAGTTGAAATCCGAAAATCTTGATTTTGAAAGCAATATTTCATTTTTTTAAAACAATGTTTCAATTGTTTAAAGAATATTTCTCAAAATATGTTAAAACAATATATATCGATTTTGTTTTTTTGGAATTTATATAATTTCGAATTTCAATCAAGTTTTAATTATGAAAAATCTATTTTAACAAGACGCAATGTGTGTTGTTAAAAATACATTTTAATGTAGTGTTGTATATTGAAGGCATGTGAGAGGCACATGCCATTTTGCATCAAACTTAACTGCAAAAATAAATGGCGGATCAGTTCTGTCAAAAAATGGCATGATTAAGGACTACTATTGTAACTCCAAAATGTTTAGGGACAGTTTTGAAAAAGTGGGTAAAGTATGAGGACGAAAAATGCAATTTTCCCAGAATTTTCAGAGCCTCGGTGGAGGTGGTGGTTGGGTGCCGGAAACCAAAGTCAGCTTTCGGACAGCCGACGCTTCCATCGTTGATCACCGACATGTCTTCACAAAAGGCTTGATTTGTATGATAAGTAAGTGTACTTGATTGATTATGGATATTTTTGAAAGGTTATTTTATAGAATATTTTTGATCTTATATAGTGTCTTAATTGTTGAAAACTCTTATGTGATTATGTAAAGTAAAACCAAGAACCTTGTATGTGAAGTTGTGATGTTAGGTGGCACTTTTGAAGAAAGATGTTAGTATTAAGCAGTGTTCTAAAAATCGGCCGAGGCGGCCGATTAATCGGTCGCCGAGGCGGAGACGGTCCAAAACCTTTACGATTTTAGTGTAAATGTTAGAAAAATCGGTTTTTTGCCTGTGAGGCGGTTTGAGGCGGTCCGAGGCGGTCTGAGGCGGTCCGAGGCGGTCAAACCTTTAAGGCGGGTCAAACTTCAGTGGCAAAAATCGGCAAAAAATCGGTCAAAAATCGGTTTTCTTTTTTATTTTTTTTATTTTTTATAAATCAAAATAAAAGTTGGGATTTTAATAAAAAAAAAATTTATGCTTTATTTTGTTTATGTTAATTATCATTGTTAAAGAACTAATGATATATGCCAAGAATGTATATAAATTAAAAAAAAATTGCCTTTTTATTTATATTTTATAAGGATATATTTATGTATTATGATCTTATTATTATTAAGCTTTTATTATGTTATTAGAATATATACATGATCGAGATATAACTATGTTTTAATATTTTTTATCTATGTTTTGAGTATTTATAAATAATATCTACAAATATATTATATTAAATTTTAAAAACCGATTTATTTCCGATTTATCACCGATTAATCACCGCTGCACCGATTAATCGTGAGTCGGTGCCTGACCGACTCGGACCCGATAGCGATTTTTACAACCTTGGTATTAAGTGATGAAAGTAGCCGCACCGATTAATCGTGAGTCGGTGCCTGACCGACTCGGACCCGATTACCGATTTTTACAACCTTGGTATTAAGTGATGAAAGTAAAATAATTCCTTATGTAATAATTTCACGGTTTATGACATGGGTGATATTATATATACTATAAATTATAAGATTATATGATCATGTGATTATCCTAGGGTTAAAATTGAAGATTGCAGTTTTTGGTGTTACTACGTGGAATAAAATCTTTACTTATGAAATGAAATAGGAAAGTAAAGGTATTATGTTTTAATGATAAAAATATTTAAATGATACAAATATGTGACTATATGATTATATGATTTTGTGTTTAATGATTTAATTATAGATGTGAAGTATTTTTGGTACTTATATTTGTAATATAGTGATTAAAGTTTACATCAGTATGACTACATGATTATATCATTTGTCTTCAATGAATTGATTAAAATAGATGAAGTATCTTTTGGTATACTTATATTATAGGAGAAATGTAGCTATTGAAATGTATGTAACAACAAAATTCTTATCTGCGATTTAGACAAACAAGAAAAACTTGCACAAAGATAATTTTATTGAATTAAAAATAAATATTGCGGGTTACAAACTCTAATTTAATCCTCTGATTCTTCTCTCAAGAATAATATATGTTGACTTTGAATTTCGGAGTCGGATCGTTGACTTGATCTTCTCCGGATTTGATTTTGAACTTGAATAACGTCTTCCGAGGGTCTTGCTACTTGAATCTCGGATCGAACGCAGAACTTTGACGGGTTTTGACTTGAAGATCTTGGAGTTCTTGATGGATTTGGCCCTTCAATCTTCCTTCGATCTTGATTTGTTGAACTTTGACGGATTTTGACTTGAAGATCTTTGAGTTCTTGATGGATTTGACCCTTCAATCTTCCTTCGATCTTGATTTGTTGAAGAACGCCCTCGATTTGATGAAGAACGCCTTGAATTTGATGAAGATGACTTGAATGTTGTAGAGAGAATTTTCTCCTACGATTTTTATTCTTCTTGAGTTGTGTCTTGAATTGTGTAGGGAGGGTCCCTATTTATAGTGGTAGAATAAGAGTCCTACATGAAGTCTTCTTGATGACGTGGCGCGATTAGATTGGCTCTCTTTAAATTGATATTTATCTCTTATAACTTGGAAGAGAAGAAACAATCATATTGGTCAATAATTAATTGATAATTATCTCCATGACTTATTTTGCAAGATAAATTATAATCTTGGGATTCAATTTAATATAATATAAATTACATTAAATTTACGTGTCTACAATGTACTCTGATATTTATTATATGAAAGAAAAGATGGATAGATCATGTAAGTGTTATGTGATTCATTTTGTGAGTCTAAGATTATATAAAACATACTTTCAATGTTAAAAATGTTTGGAAAGAAATTTGAGAATTACGTGAATAAGTACGGCATTGGAGGGTGGTGGGGTGGGGGGCTGCGGGGGCC